CACACATACATACACACACACCTAAGTGCAAACATGCAAACAGTTACCAATACCAGCATGCATTGCCAGGTTTACAATACACAGGCACATTGTTTTTTTTGTTTTTTTGTGGTAAATGTTTTACCTCACAATGAGGATAGAAGCATAGGGGAATATTGAAACAATAAATAGGCACGTTAGATGTGAAGAGAGGCAGAGGCAGACAGAGGGACAAGAGGCAGACAGAGGGACAAGATACTGGACAAGTTAACAACATGGCTGGGAGCAGCAAGAACACAGACACCATCGATGTAACGATCGCCCACCCCAGTCGGCAAGGCACCGGATAATGATGATGTGTTTTACAGCGCTTGCAACTGCATAGCACATTAGTTTGATGAAACTTTGATAAACATTAACGATTAACAGCATCGTAATACATGTAAGTGGTGTGATCCAGTATGGGATATTGTCATAGAAACTGATGCATGGACGGTATTGCTGTTTTAAGTCCGTCCAATCCTGAAATTTACTCTTTGTGATTTTTTAATGGAGAATGATATCGTGGTGGGGAACTCTTTATCAATTTTTCCTGGTACTTGGACTTTGGAAAACCCTTCTACTCATCGGTTAAGTTTATTTTGTAAAATGAGGAAAAAATCCCTATCTTATGCAAATCAGAGACTCCATATGACATTGGATCTTCTGTTTGTCTATCCGACCAGACTATTTTGTGGACTGCATATTTAGCAAAATCATGGATGAAAATGTGATCTACAATTAATTCTTTTTATTGTAGGGTCTTGCGTTGATATATTAATGTGGTTCTGAAAACAGCAAGACAATCTAATAGGCTGTATATGTATGTGAGTGTATTTAAGGCGACGCTCAGTGAAACGGTGCATACTATCCACCTCCTTTGCTCCTACAGCATTATATTGTTAGACAGAACTGCATTTTTGTACCCTCACTCACACAAGTCACTATATATTCTAATAACCTTTTCTATTTATGTGTGCACGTTGAAAGAAAGTCTACCAAACTAGTTTTGAATTCATTCGCAGTCGACAAACCACCCTGAGCTTCGTGTCATACGTAATAAAGGCATCTTGCGAGGTCACAGAGAATATAATGTGCATGCCTTTGAAATAAGAGCAGGAGGAATGGATAGAGAGGGCCAAAAGTTCACACTGAAAATTTGTGTAGATTATCACAAGGTAATCTTGCTCTCGAGCAAAGTTTTATCCATGACATTTTCTCTCTTTGGCAGTTTCTTTTCTGGAAATTGAGATTCCCTCTGATTGGCTGAAATGTTGCCAGACTTAAAATCACGTAAAATCACAATGATCTTGTTTGGTCGATATATCGACACGTATTTTTAATCAAGCACTCATCTGAGTAGTTTGACACAAAAGGCAGATTGTCCTTTACCAGTGCACGCTGTTTCGTAAAACCGATGCAGGTCAGACAGATTATAAAACAGGGTTCAAGATACAGTAATCTAGATTTTTTTCCGTCAATAGTGAAAGGGGACCCTCAGAAGCATGTACACAGATGTGGACAGAAATACCCTGGTCTGCTCGCTCCTTGTAGATTGTTTCGAGGTGCAGCTGGCTGAGGCTCTTCTAAAGCATTCTCTAGCTGGAGTATCGTGATTGTCACCAAGAAATGCCCGAGAAAGATGCTCAGGATCTGATGGACAGATAGAGTTACCAACGAGGAGTTTGTAGGAGAAAAAGACAGAAAAAGGTAGTGGAGATGGACTGTTGGAAAGACATTTGGATAAGGTAAAGAAGATAGCCCAGAATACGGAAAATGGAAAGTGTTTGTCGGTCCACGTTGAGTCTGGCGATGATGCAGCGTGCATGGGCTCTTCTAGAGCACTTTACAATAGATGCAAGAGCCCAGTTATTTGGATACCAACATTTTCCTGCACAATTTGATCTTCTGATCTTCCTGTTTCAGATACTAAACCACGTTTTTTAAAGTTAACTGTTTTTCTGTTTCCACTCATCGAGTACTTTTGATGATACTTCTTTTTCCACCGAAAACTGGTTCTTATACTATTTCCGCGCTGGTACAAAGCGGTTGTTTTGCAACTTTCTTTGATATCTAAAGTGGTTCAAGTTGTTCTACTTCGCAATATCACTTAGTTTGTTAGGGGACTCTTATAAATAAATACTCTTTTAAAGTCAAACTAGTTGGGATTGTGATACAATACAACAATACAACAGAACACTTTTAATGTATTTTACTACGTTTTCTACATTTTTGCAATCGAGCAAGAACGAGATTGTAGAACTACTACTAGAAGGGCAAAAGCATTATACATTCGAATTTGACTGTCATTTCGAAACAATTCTGGTACAGCATCTATGAAACAAGAATCATAATCACGCGACGGAAAGCTTTTCTCTCTGTCAACACCATAAATTAAAAAATATAGGCTGGAAACGATGAATACTGACTAACAATTGTGTTTGCCCAACGCAGTCGTCAATATTTCTATGTTTACAGGAGCATGTATCGTCGGTCTCCTGATAACATTGTGAATTCCACAAATGTTTGAACATTTTTTGTGCACATTTTGATAGTGCTCGGTGTGATATTAATACAATTATCTCAACTCAATCGTGTAATCTGACGTGATATAAAAATATATGAATATCCACACCTGTGTGGAATTCACGATCTTATCGGTCGGTTCATGACTCGCATGAGCGACTCTAAAGCACTATCAAAATATGCAAAAAACAACAACAATAACAAAAGAAAAAAACAAAAAAAAACAACCTCAACAGATTTTCGAACATTTGTGGAATTCACGATTTTATCAGGCGACGGACGAAATACCACAATCCTAGATTTTCTTGATAAAATATATGCTTTCGTGGGTGCGTCCACACTATCCCTGTCTGCCTCTCTCTCTGCATGTCTGTTTGCCTCTTTGTTTGTTTGTTTGTCTGTCTATCTATCTGTCTCTATTCCGTCTCGCCCACTCATCGTTTCTGTCTGTCTGTCTGTCTGTCTGTCTGTCTGTCTGTCTGTCTGTCTGTCTGTCTGTATGTCTGTTGGCTGTCTGTCTGTCTGTCTGTCTCTCTGTGTGTCTCTCTCTCTCTCTTTCTCTCTCTTATATGCACGCGCAGGCACACTCACAATCTATATCTGACTATACGAACTATAAAAGTACGTGTCTAACAAGTAGTAACGCTGTATGTCCACCCGTGGGCCCGAAATGGGAGCATTACGGGTTTGGACAGTGAAGTATTGTGAAGTTTGTGTGAACCTTCATGGTGATAATGAGCTATAAATAAAGCTACAATAAGACTTTTTGCACATATACACTGGTTTCCAGTAACATCCGGAGTGAGACAGGGCTGCAATCTTTCCCCTCTGCTCTTCGTGATCTACATGGACCAGATAACAAAAGAGGCCAATCCAGATCCAGAGGCACTCAACGAACTCATGTTTGCAGACGACCTGGCAATGATTAACACCAAGACTCAGCTACAGGAACATATAAACCAATTAAATGCGAGCTGCGAAAAATATGACATGAAGATCAGTATTAGCAAGACCGAAGTCATGACAATTAACAGGAGACCAGGCAAAGTGGATATCAACATCAATGGATCCCAACTAAAACAAAGCAGAGAATTCAAATACTTTTTGGGCAGCATTTTCACAGAAAATGGAAAATTAGATCGAGAGATAGAGACTAGATGCCAGAGAGCCAACGCAGTCAGCTACCAACTGGGCCCTCTCCTGAAACATCCCAATATCCCCATGAGCACCAAGGCGAAGCTCATCAACGCCATTTTCCTTCCAACGCTCACATATCAGTGCCAGACATGGACTCTAACAAAAGCTCTAGAGAGGAAACTGGTCACATGCGAGATGAAATGCTTAAGAAGAGTGGTCAACAAAACAAGAAGAGACAAAATTTTTAATGAAGTCATAAGGGACACCGTGGGAGCAACACCAGTCCTACCACACATTGAAAAATAAAAGGTCAAGTGGTTCGGACACCTCACGCGGATGCCCTCTAACCATCCAGCTCTGAGAGCATAAAACACTAAATATTCTGGATGGAGAGCCAGAGGAAGACCAAGGCGACGATGGAGTGAATCTGTTGCAGACACCCTTAAAGATCATGGGATGTCCCTCCTACAGGCCACACGACTTGCTGCAGACAGACACCTGTGTCTCCCTGCGATACCCCAGGGTACAAGCGGAAGAAAAAAGTAAAAAGTAAGTAAAGTAAAGCACATATACACAAAGCACATTTTCTCATTCCTACGCGCACTCACAGTTGCGTATGCTGTCACAAGAGAAAGCAAGCTGGCTTTTGTTAATTATAATAAAGTATGTATTGCAGACACAATATTTACATACTAAGTAGCTTTGAAAGCTCCACGTTCATAAGGTCTCCAGCGGCTGTTAAAAATTGTTGATTTGATTTGTATCTAAGGTAGAAAAGGTCAAGCACATCCAAGGATTGATAGAATTACAGTAGTGGTCCCGAGCCTATCTTCTATGTTCTCTCTCTCCATCCTTTTCTCTTCCCCTTTTTCTCTTTCTCGCCCTCTACCTTCTCTAGTATCCCCCTCTCTCTCATCATTCCTCTTTCACTCTTTTGCTTTTCCTCCCGCTTCCTCTTTCTCCTGGTTTTCCAATATACCCCTACCCCTCGATTTTTCTATTCCTTAAAATTCGATATTTCCTCAGTCTCAAAAGCAATAATGGGCTCATAAAAATGTTTTGGTCTTTAACTCTCTTCCCAGGAAGGAGAAGGAGAATTTATATGGTCAAAGGAGACTCAAGGCATCATTCTCAGTTCTTTCTACTGGGGATTCACGGTAGCTCAGCTACTTGGGGCCTGGTTCAGTCAGAGGTGAGGTACTCTTCCGCGTTTCCTTTAGTACTGTTTTGAAATTCTTCCCATAACTTTTTCAATTACATTTGATAAATATTTTTGCTGTACTGCTTTTGCTTTTTAAAAATCTACTTTCTAAATTGTTACTGAAACCGTTGGACCTGCTATTTACCTTTTAAATTATTTGTTCATAATTTGCAGTTCCGTAAACAAATACTATGCGAATTCTTATTTCAGATACGGTGGAAGGAGAGTTTGGGCCTGTTCCATGCTCGTGTGCTCACTTTTAACCCTCCTCACACCAATAGCTGCTCGGATAGATTCTTATGCAGTCGTTGCAGTGAGAGTTTTATTAGGTCTTTTTCAGGTAAAATAGTCATTTTTGTTGCATAATATATATATCATTGAAGGGAAAAGGAGGTGGGAACGATTAGCAAACATTACACTTTTTTTTGGTCTAACATTTAAATCCAGCTTTCTTAGTAGACGTTTTGATTTTCTCAGGATGTTTTGTCAAACTGATCATTTTACTTTGTTGATCTGAAGACAAACGGGGAATTTCGTAGAAACTATCATACCCCCACCCCCTAACCCTGTAAGCAATGCTAATGACGCATTCTTGTCAAGTGATGTAGACCATGTTCATAGAAGAATACTTTTTCACACTTCCCCTCTTAAAGTCCCGTTGGGTAGCTGAGGTTATAAATGTAAAGAATAACAATAATAGAACCATTGTTCCCATTCATTTATCACATAATACACTTTAAGGCTCACTCTAATTCCAGATATCAAAAGGTTTGGATATAGCTTTGGCTTTACTAATTTCCGGCAAAACAGAAAATCCGTCTTGTTGTCTTTCACTTCCTGTTGCCTTTAAATATTGCGTCTTCCCCACTAGCCTTCTCTACCAATTTTTATTTGTGAAAACTTGATCATTTGGGCTTTTGTTTAGTAATTTTCATTTACCCTCACTTTGTTTTGATAATAGTTTATTTTCTTATGATCCTAAAGCTAAAATCTGGATTCAAACGTTTCAGATCAAAAAGAAATTTCTGTCGCTCTTTTTTTTTGTTCCTTTGCACGTAGAAATAACAATTAGTTGAGAGGATATGATCTTGGAGCAGACTCCTCATGTTTGAGTTAGGGTGGTGAACGGAATGGTGTTTTATGAATGAACTTCTAAAGCTGCACAAACAATAGCTTAAGATGGCAAGTATACATGTATTTTTGCGTGGTATACTGTACACATAACGATGGTGTGTTTTCTCCAAAGAGCGTGATGTGGCCCTCCCTGTGTGTTCTTTTCACCCGTTGGGTACCTCCCCTGGAGAATGGGAGACTTACCAGTTTTGCAATAACAGGTAACTTCTTCGTAGAACTCGTGAGGGAGTTAGTACAAAGTGCCAAGTTAGTGCTCGGCACACTTTGGGCGTTCAGTAGACGGTACAATGTGGGCCATGCCGTAAAGAATGGCAAAGGAACAAGGGAGAAAATATAAAAAATAAAAAGAAAGGAAACTTTGACCAGTACAGAGAACACAATGTTAACTTTTTGACTGGAAAAAGCAACCTTGCCTGTCGGTATTTGTTTAGGTATGAAAACGAGGAGGAGGAAGAGTTGTTAACTAATCAAATTAAAGTCCTGAACCATCCGTGATTTGCTCAGACAAGTGAGGTTCAAGTATAAGTATCTTTCAAATACATGTAATATCCTTCTTACAAAGGGAATTAATATCTACTTCTGATCTGTCAAATAGGTTCTTTGCTGGGCGCTATCATCACTTTACCAGTGGTGGCTCAACTATGTGAAGTACCGACAGGATGGTCTCTAGCCTTTTACATTACAGGTAAGGCAATTGCTCCTCTAGTGTATGGCAATAGTTCCCCACGAGTTTCCAGCTACTGAATCGACCCTTTTCCTAAGGGTTTAGATTATTACTATTAAACCTAATAGCCTGTTCTCAATCAAATCTTGTGGCTGGTGTGCATAGCCTTCAGATGAGAAAGTAGACAGATATGTATGACCTCTGAACTGGTTTATCTTTAAAAGCGTGAAAAGAAAAAGCTCAAACTTATCCGGCAATATACATTCATACATGTATATTATACTCTCTCTCTCTTTCACTCTGTCTTTCTCTCTCTCTCTCTCTCTCTCTCTCTCTCTCTCTCTCTCTCTCTCTCTCTCTCTGTCTCCCTCTCCGTCTGTCTCTGTCTGTCTGTCTGTCTGTCTGTCTGTCTGTCTGTCTGTCTGTCTGTCTGTCTGTCTGTCTGTCTGTCTGTCTGTCTGTCTCTGTCTCTGTCTCTGTCTCTGTCTCTTTGTGTCTCTCTCTGTCTCGCTCTGTCTCTCTCTCTCTTTATATATATATATATATATATATATATATATATATATATATATATAAATAATATACACATGTGTGTATGAGTGTGTGTGTGTGTGTGTGTGTGTGTGTGTGTGTGAGAGAGAGAGAGAGAGAGAGAGAGAGAGAGGGGGGCGTGCTGTCAAAGTGAGTTACTTCTCGCAATCCACATGTCGGCCGAAAGTGGACACATCAATTTTGTACCTTTAAAACTGATGTCATTTTTTTTTTCAAGTTAAACATGTGTTTCTCGTGTGTAAGTTGCCTACGTTAAAGAACTCTTGGTGGTATAAAATCAATAACAGTAGGCTTTGGCCGCCACCCAGGCAAAAATTCAAAATTTCCTACCAACTGAAATAGTTTAATGTGTCCAGCGTGTTCATATGACTTTATGCAGTTGTGAGTGCCGTAAAACACTTACCCCTCCCCCCTAAAAAAAAGAACCAACACAAAAAACCCACCCACCCCCAAAAACGTGTTAATCCTTTCACATTATATATTACACAAACCCAACCTAAAAAAATTATTAATTTCATGTATCTCTCTGTGACCAGAAGGCTGAAATTTGAGAATTAACTCGTTTTGTCGGTAAGCGTCATATCTATCTATCTATCTATCTATCTATCTATCTATCTATCTATCTATCTATCTATCTATCTATCTATCTATCTATCTAAATTATATATTCATGTAAATGTATTATATTATTATTTATACACGTATACTCATAGAAAAGAGAATAAGTGCAAACTTTAAATAGCCACAGGTTAATTAATTGAAGATCAACAGTCTCTAAATTGAACACGGAAGCTGGCGTTAGTTATTTTGGTAAGTTCACGGAGTTTGAGCTAAACATTATTGTTTATCAAGGGTGATAACTCTTTTGTCTTAAATGCATTCCCCAGTCTAATAATGCGACTATTTGTACACTTGTTTAGAATTTGAGTCTAAGATTCACTTTCTTTACGTCTGTTTATGTCGAAAAACATAAAAAAACCATATTTCTGCTTTTAAAACTTGCTACGTGTGTTGGAAAATGACAAAGCGAGCGTCAGGAATGCCCCAGGCTAGACATTCAAATTATTTTTAATAAACCCATTACGTTTCACAGTAGAAATGGACTCTTAGGTGGACCGAATTCCTTCGCAGAATATTTACAAGAGGAAACCACTGAACGTGCCATTGACCATTCTTTCTAAGTCCAGTTGATCAGTGATGCTGTCTTTTTCTGTCAACAGGAGGCTGTGGGTTTCTGTGGGTAGTGTTCTGGGGTCTTCTCGTCTACGACTCCCCTGACGTACATCCCCGTATTTCGTCAGCAGAGCGACTCTACATTACTCACAGTATTGGAAAAAACGTTACTTCAGATTTGCTGGTAAATCTATTTGAATGTGCTTTTGTGTGAGATTTGCAGGGCACGCATGGTGTGTGTGTGTGTGTGTGTGTGTGTGTGTGTGTGTGTGTGTGTGTGTGTGTGTGTGTGTGTGTGTGTGTGTATGTGTGTATTAGTATGTGGAGATGTGTTTGTATGTGAGTATGTAATTGTAAGTTTGCGTGTATATGCACATGATAGAAATGCACACACACACACACACACACACACACACATTGTTGTGCAGCTTTAGAAGTCATCATAAACTCACATTCCTCTCACACACTCACACACTCATATACGGAGTCACACACATACATATATATATATATATATATATATATATATATATATATATATATATATATATTTATTGCGTCATTTTTATGTACGTACAACAAGTGGATTGTTGGCCGATGACCCAGTCTAGTTTACTCCTTCTTTATATGACAAATATATCTATCTCCTCTTTACTCCTTATTTTCTTTGTATGGTATGTTAATCTCCAGTGACACCTAATCTTCGGCACTAATTATACCACTTGCTTGTGTCGTAAGTGCAGATAAAGTCCTAATCTTAGTTGGTTGTTGGAGGGCGATACTGGTAGGTCCTACTTCTTTACTTTCCTCTTTATTGTTTCTGTCTGTCTATCTCACTTTCCCCCAGCACTAAATGATCATTACTGTATCTGTAATGAATCTATATAAATGTATTAAGGAAAACAATCTATAGTCATGTTGATAGATAATTATCTAAGTACATTCCCCTTGAATTGTCACGAGGTCAAACTTCTTCTTCGTGCCACGTGAGTTGAGGTGTAAAACGTCTGTGTCCATGTCCGGTTGTCAATAAGTCTGTGTATCTATGTGGGTGGTTGGTGGGTGCTCTGGTGTGGTTTGCTTCTTCTTTCCTATGGAACATCTATCGTCCTTATCTCCCCTTCTTCTTTTTTATGTTTGTTACTCTCTTGTAACACCTCTAATCTTCTGGCGCTCATATGACCTTATGCAGTTGCGAGCGCCGTAAAACCTCTACTAAAACTAAACTAAACTAAACTAAGTCTGTGTATAATAAAACATATCTGAAATCATCCATGCCTTAAATTATTAAAGTACAGTGTCAATGTGCTTCTCTTTACTCAAACAAACGAACAAATCCTTATCTAAGTGTATAGATCTATACATTATATATTATTATGTGTATATTATGTATAATGTATATAATACAGTTAATTAATAAATAATGTATGTATTATTTAGAAACAAGTTTGCGCCAGCATATATGATATTGCTATAATAATAACAACTTCTATGTGTGTCTGCTGTATGTAGTACGAAAGAAAGTAACAAAGTTACAAACACACACATACACGCACATCTTATATATATATACTATGTATCAATGCATACACACACAAACACACGCGCTTATACACACAAACACACATTTAGACATGCACACTAAGCACACAAATACAGGCATACACATACACACACAGTGAAAGAGAGAGGGAGGGGGAGCGAGAGAGAGAGAGAGAAAGAGAGAGAGAGAGAGAGAGAGAGAGAGAGAGAGAGAGAGAGAGAGAGAGATAGAGAGTAGAGAATCTACAAACCTTATGACAGTGCGCATGTGGATTCAAACAAAACACAGATCATTCAAAGACAATTAATTAGCGTTTGCTCTCCCATTATTCTTCACTAGATGTCTTCAAAAATACCTTGGTGTTCCATCCTCACTTCAAGGCCGGTGTGGGCCATCACTATGGGCGTATGTTGTATTTCCTGGGGCTACTTCATGTTCCAATCCTGTATTTCGCAATACCTGCATGAGGTGCTGTTTTTCGACATCTCGAAGGTTTGTCTTTTAGTTATCGTGTACCACATGGACGTGTAGCATAGTTGTTTCTCTGTCCTTTTACATATTAATCTCTTTCTCTCAACCTTTCTCTATCTGTCTCTCTATGAATACCTGTGTAATACAGAAGTGCAACACACGTCGACAATAATGGTTCACCTTTCATTTCTTTGCTCTGATGCTCTCTAAAAAGTCGTATCAGACTGATATATTTCCCTCCGTAATTAACCCTTTTGCTCATCATTATCTTTTCATAATCTATGTTATATTTGAAGGCACCCCCCCCCGGGGCAGTGCCACTGACTGTAGTGTCTTAAGGCCATTCCCAACGGGGGGACATTCTCGTTCATGCACAGTAGAATTGTAAATGGGCTGATTCATCATGTCACGCTCATAACTGTGCCTGATCTACAACAGGGAACTGCTGCTTTTTCTTTCCTAATCCTTACTCTTGTCATTTTCCTCTACTTCTTTGGTATGTTTGTCACACTCTTGTGACCTGCTATTTCCGGGGTGCCTTGATAGTCGAAGCAGACTTTGTGCTGTTGAAGCTGGAGAGGTGAGCAGAGTCAGTCTGACTCCCTGTAAAGACTTCTCTGTTGAAACCCATCCCTTGGCGCTCATGTTACCTTATGCAATTGGGAGCGCCGTAAAACCCTCTACTAAACTATATTTGAATGCATTCTTACTAGACAAATGGCACTTTCAACGAGTGTTGGCTGAAAGAAAAATGAATAGTTTTAGGATAGATTGCAATAATTTTCTATCTTTATTTATAAAACATTCAAGAAAAGTTCAGAGTTATCATAAAACGGTCTGGGAATTCAAGTATTAGCACTCAATTTGTTAATTAACTAGAGTGCTTATATTTTTGTAACAAGTGAGCACCAACAATAACATCTGTAAAT